AAATGTGGGTAATTTTATCTTCTTTTATTTTATAAAACATCATTATTTACGAAAAATGGATGGCTTTCGAATTATTTTGAAGAAAGAGGAAAAAAAGCGTGATTTTAATACATTTTTTTGCTTAAAAAAAGTGTTTCTGGGCAATTTTTTTTGTTGGCAAACCTGATGGTCGTGTTCAAGGCGCCCCCCCCCCCCCCCACACACACCACCACAACAAAAGAAACAAAAGACCAAAACATCAAAGACTTTCCATTATCCCCCATTATTAGAAGACCACAATTTGACTGGGCTATAGGATAGTTTCTAAGAGCAAAGCAGAATTAATCAATACTATATAATAGCAATAGGAATACAATGGCAGCTGCTGCACGATATTGACTACAAAGATAAATTGAACGCCAACATATCAATAAACAGTTTCGGCTCCACCATAGACTTTGAGCGTAAAGGAAAAAAACAACACACAATAGAAATATAATCAAATTTAAACAGACAAATTTCTAAGGAACATATTGTTATAATATATCAAAGAAATGCTTTTAATATTGGCTTGGATAATTCAAATTTATAGAACAGTCTCAAGTTCCCCCCGAACTATAGTAGCAAGGTAAAGATGGTTCAGAACAGCAATAACTGATAACATGTATAAGTGCCTCTAGCCCGGGAGGCGCGTAAGGGGATCCGTCAGGGGTGGACAAAGGAATTGAGCGACCACTCCTTGTGATTAGGTCGAATTTCAGACGTTGTCTGGAGGAAATTCTAGCGGTGAGCCGCTTCTGTCGGTAGTTTCTTCTGTAGGTTTCTGTGTATCAAACACCAGGCGAAAGGAATGCCGCGGAGGCAATACCTAACAAACGGCCGCAGCGGACACATCACATATGGTTTCCTTCCTCTTCCTCATTAAAGTCCTTTACACTCATACCCTACTAGACTTACATAAGGAACGACTAACAGCATGAATCGGTGAAGCTGAATGGGAGGCCACGCTGGCCTGGGGAAAATCCACACCGCAAGTCCGACGTAGGTCGCACAGACACTGGCGGGGACAATCAGCGCAACCACAATCCGGTGATAAAGAAAAGTCGACAGAACTATACTATACGGGAACTAATGTACTTAGTAGTTGAGCGCGTCGACGGAAATTCACCAATCAATCAATGCTACTATGTATCAATGTTCTAGTAGTTCTATATCTCGCCCCGCTCGCCTTAAAGTAGTTTTGCCCTAATGTACCACTAGACCGAAGTCTACCGGGTACATCACTCCTTAATCCTATCGATATAATAATCAATATCTAAGACTAAAAGAACCAGATGAAATACTGATGATTTCATACGCCATGGTATGCAAATTGTTATTTATCACAGCAATACAATAAAGCACACTTCCACCAGAAACCATGGAACTCTCAGTCTTTAGCAGCCAGACTTACAACATTCATGTTTCGCTTTCGCCCCTATGCACTCCCCAAGTACTTAAAAAGAAATCGGTTGCGTAATTATCAACTACACAAGAGAACAATAAAGAATAAACAACAAAACGTCGTGTGTTTTACTTTAGCTTATACATGATCATAAGAAATATAAATATAAACTGAAAAATAGGTATCTGAAAATACACTAATTTTTATTGCCACTATTGAAAAGTAAAGAGAGATGATATTGGATATGGCATAAAGTTCAAATAATGATGGTTATTAATCCTGAATTTAGTAAGGTTAAATTCAACAATATCCAGGATGGTATGAGAGAAAAGACTTATTACTACTCAGTGAGCTGGATCAATTCAGTTATCAATCTCAGTAATTAGGGAGCATTAGCCAAGGGCATGTGGCTTATAAGAAAGAAGTTCAATTGTTGAGATGAGCCTTATGTAGTCCACAAAAATGAGTAGCCTATGAGTGGAACAAAAAGTTTTGGGCTAGAGAAATAAAAACTGCCGCAAGGGACTAGCGGCACTGCTCTAAGAATTCACAGGGATCGTATTATGTAAAAACACACAAAGAATCAGAAGCACTTCTCGCCCCAAGAATCTCGGAAATAGCAACCATGTGAGAAAGGAAAAAATATATAGTAGTAAGTATAATAGTGATCAATAATAGTGGACATATTGTGTTGTAGAATGAAGGAGGTATTACATGCTCAATAGAGGAGAACTTCATTTAGAAAGGGGCAAACAATACTCTCCACCTTAACTTAATAGACAACATCCCAACAAAAGCCAGTGAACCAATTCGCTGAACATCAACATTTTTGCTATTCCTCATCTCGTGTTAACTTCACACTAAAGCCTAGCACCTCATTTATAACGAGATGTGGCAATAACAATTCTCAGACAAAAGTTTACAACTTGCCTTCAAAGCTGCTCGGCTACTTAAATACTTCAACACATCGGGCTGATTAGGATAATGTGAAAATTATCTAGCTAATTTGTAGAAAATGAATCAACAACCTATTTAACGAATAATTAACCATGCATCATCACAAGAAACTTCGAATTGAATTGGTTGAAACCAATAAGTATAACACTTCATGTATCTGCTCTATTGCATTAAAAGTGTACAACATCCGTTCTATGTCACTCGAATTAATTGTACAATAATACATTATTTCCAGAACATCAAAAGCAATCATGGCTTGCCTTTAAACCATACTGCGAAACGGCCAACAATGTTTCAGACAATTGAATTACCATAGCGAACAAAGACAGTAAACCATGTTAACGAAATAACAATAAAGACCCACATGATATAATGTCGATAAATGGAGCAAGAAATCGTTAATAATGTGGATCAGTAGTTTCAATAGACAAAAAGTACAACAAGTTATTAATATATACCATTTACATTTTATTTTCATTTTATGTTTCGTTTAGTCATCATATTTTATTACTTGACTTTTAGTATTTATTTGGTTAAAGAGAAAGAGCTTCGATAATAATGAAAAAGTTATCATTGAGATGAACTGAACTAATAATGGTACATAAAACTTGAAGAGAGGATAAACATATTCAACAGCCACTTTGCAGGAAATAAATCTTAAAAACCACTTCCGATAAATATCTTACAGGAATCATGACAATTTTGACTAGAATTGCGAGTAACAGCAACATCAAACCCAGGAGAAGAAAGGAAAGAAGAAGAATAGAACTTAAACACTAACAGTAGCCACCAAAGATATACCATATAAACAAAAAAATTCCCTAATCTAGCAAAATGACTGTTATAGGTAAAAAAAAAGAAGAAAACAATTCTTCAAAATGAACAATGTATAAAACACAAGCTTGTTTGGAGTAAGAGAACCGTTGGTTCACTAAAAATACTTCCAAACATTTATTCCCTTAAACATGAAAAATGACAAGAAGCAAACAAAACAAATATAAGGCTATAACTCAAAATCATAATATCTAACACCCAAGTCCAAAATGCGAAATGATGTAATCTTCCAGAAAAATTAAATAATAATCATTTACCACTCGACTAGAAAATAATTATAGCATAAGCAAAATATACTCGATTGTTATCATCTTCCAAGAGGAATACACCACTCAAAAAGTTTTTCATGTACAGAAAAATACCAATACAAAAAAGACTCTCCCAAAAGCGACCAAATGTAAACTCAAAAACCAGTTGTTAGAGCAGAGAAAGTAGTAACCCAATGCTTACTTCCCCAACACTGTTACCCAAATGAGAAAAATATTATGTATTTGGAGAATTACTGTAAAGGAGAAGATTCACATAATTAATTATTGAAAGAGATAATGATGTATCCAATTGCATCATGAGTCTGCATAAATGACTGGGCACAAAAACAACCAAGTAGCTGTCAAAGCCTACGCAGTATTTCGTCTAAGAAAATCCTAAGTATGAATAAACCACTTCACCACAAGGAGTCAATATGTAATAAGACAAAGACAAAAAGGAGAAAAGGAAGATAGTTAAAATTTGAAAAATCAGAAGGAAAATGGGACCAACCAAATATTTCCCCCATTTTGCATGGGCCAGGTTTTTTCATTTCTTTTGTATTTATGGATTAAATACTTTCCATTTTTCTTTCTTTTGTTCTGTTCTCGCTTCGCTTCTGTCTTAGAGAAAAAAAAA